TCTAGTTTGATATGCCAAAAAGCTTCCTGGATGTCGACTTTGCTAAATATCTTGGCGTTACCCATTTCAGCCAAAATGTCTTCTAGTGTTGTTAGGTTGTAGTGCTCCCTCAGAAGTGCCTTGTTCAAGGGTTGAGGATCAATACAGATTCTGATACTGCCATCTGATTTCTCTACCAATGCCATTTGACTAACCCACTCTGTGGGCTCAGTTATTTTTTCCAGAATTCCTCGTTGAACTAATGAGTTTAGTTCGGCTCTGACTTTCTCTTTTAATGCTATAGGAATTCTTCTACATGGTAGGACTTTGGGCTTCACTGTCTTGTCTATTTTCAATGTAGCCACGCCCAAATCACCAAGTGCGTCAATGTTTTGGTGTTTGTTTCCTGTGGCTTCCACTTTGGCAATAAATCGGTCTTCATTAATGTGAATGAGTTCCATCTTCCTCAGTGTTGATAATCCTAGCAGGCATGTTAGATCATTTGGTACTACCACATACTCTACATTGAATTTCTCATTGGTCTTTAGATTGGTGGTTACCAACGTAGCTTTTCCTTTTGGCTCCATTACCGTCTTATTCCACATTGTTAATCTCTGAGACGTCGGTACTATCTGGTCTGGGCACACATACTTTTCGTTTATGGTATTGACGTCGGCGGCACTGTCCACTTGAAATCTGACTCTTTGGTTGTTGATCATCATGACGGCCGTCATCCTATGCTTTTTGGGGCCATTCATTGCCATTACCCATTCAGTTTGGAGTGTAACTTCTTCTTCTTCTTCTGTGTCTGAGTCTATGTTGCTCTGTGCCTTTGCTTGAGTGATGCTATATATTTTCTTTTTTGCAGACTGAGGCAAAATGATTCCTGCCTCCACAAATGTGACATGATTTTCCCCAGGCCGGACATTTTTCCTTTATGTATTCATGGTTGCCCTTGCAAAATTTACAAGTTTTACTTTGTCTTGGCCCTTTGTCACTCTGTTGATATTCCTTTCTGTATTTCAGACCTGACTTAGATGTTGAGATTCTTTCAATCGTTGGTTTGTCCAAAGGTTCATTTCTTCCTTCTCTGATATCCTTCATTTGCCTTTGTGAACTTTCATATATCCTACACACATCTATGCATTTCTGTAGGGTTAGTTTATCATCTTGCAACAGCTTCATCTTTAAGTGTTCACTTCTAACCCCTAAGATAATTCGGTCCCTAATCAGACTCTCTTCTAGTTTATCAAAATTGCAGCTGCTTGCCAGTTTCTTCAGGGCAGTTATGTATGAGTCAATGTTCTCGTCCTCTTCTTGTCTTCTCGTATTGAAGACATATCTCTCATATGTTTCGTTGGTTCTCCCAACATAGAACTCTTCAAAACTCTTTAAAATCTCATTTATTTTTGTCTCCTGCCCTTTTCAAAATGAATCAAACCCGTCTGCAGCCTCACTTCCAATTATGGTCATTAGTGTTGCTACACGTATATCTTCTGTCTCTGTTGTGAGTTTCGTGGCCTTTTCATAGTTATCCCAGTCTCTTCTGAATCGTTTCCAATTGGCCGCCATATTGCCTGTTTGCAATAGCGGTTGCGGTACTGGGAAATATCTGTTAGCAGTTGCCATTTTAGCAACTGATTTCTTATATTTTCCTCAAGATATTCTAGGTTATCGTTTACCTTTATTAGATGTGTAAACCGCTGCCACCATGTTACGATGGACACTCAAATATAAATACACTTAACATAAGAACAATCTCAGGTAAACACAAACAAGTTTAATCAGCCATCTTGATTACTAGAGTAGTTTCCCCTGTTCATGGGCACAACTCTTCATACAAATATAACATTCCATCAACAATCTGAAAAAAATGAACAAAGTAGGTTTTGTCAGGTTTCATTTCTATTGCACCTATTTGTCTTTGGCTTGTTAGACTTGTAAGGGTTTACTTAAATAAGAAGAATAAATAGTCAATACACTTAATGTCTATCTCCCGTTATCAGTGAATAACAAAACACTTTAATATCAAATAAAGCACACAATTATATCACTCTCAAGAAATGATACAAACACCAGTCCAGGAAGCAAACGTCCAACCTTCCTGGACCGGGAACAAGACCTCACTGACTAACACTCTCGCACATTCAACGAAGACTAAATCATTCAGTTCATAACACCGGCAAGACTATTCACATTCATAACCTGGGAGTACTTAAACAAAGGGATATCACCTCATACCAAAATATCAAAGTAACATATTCACTCTCGCCATTTTTATGTATTTAGAGCACAACGTTGTTTTTTTTTTCTCAACTATACTTTCAATTGATTTACACTAACATGTTTTTCTGGGAGGCCATACTATATAGGATTCTTATAGAAGGCCTCAACACTGACCTGTAACGTCACAGCCTGTGGGCAGTTTAGACCAATAGCTCGTTGCCATGTCACAGGCGTGGCTATGAGCCATTGGTCTAAACTGCCCACAGGCTGTGACGTTGTAGGTCAGAGTATAGAAGTATAGACCCTCTATAACGATTGGTCTCGGTCATACACAGGAAATGTTCACAATTATATCATTTTTTCCAGTTCACAACTGTCAATAAAAAATACACGGACAACCTAATGATAGAAACTGTCCCCCCCCCCCTCCCCAGGCCAAGAGATACCTCAAGGGCTACACGTCGGTCGCGAGTCAAAATTAAAGAGGCAGTACTTGGGGGGGGGGGGGGGGGGAGGCAATATGGCATCTCCATGACAACAAATCAATTTTTATGGAGACCCAGAACAAAGTACTTCATCACAATGTTTTTTAATTAATGACTAGAAAGCTTCGTGTCACGTGACGCTTGGAAAGATGGATGCTAAAATGAAGCTAAGAGACTCTATATCTTTCTGACCAGGAATTAAACAACAAAAAAAAAAAGAACAATCGGCGGATCAAGTTATTTGAGAAACAATTAGTTAAAAAGGAAGTGAGATGTGAAATCAAGTGAGATAAGATGAGCCAATTGTTAGACAGCTTCATTTGATTACAAGAGGATTTGTTGATGGTCAACAGTGCTTAGTTGTTCCATCTGAATCAGCGGTTCTCAACCTTTTATGCTCGGCGACCCCTTTTTACAATCCCTCATTCTGCGGCGACCCCCCTCCCCCCGATGCACAGATACAGCACTAGAAGAGTAGACAATAACAATCCATAGTTTCGATGGTCTTAGAAGACCCCTGGCAAATCGTCAATCGACCCCCAAGGGGGTCGCGACCCACAGGTTTAGAGTCCCTGATCTACATAGTAAGTAGTAACAGGTGGAACTTTCGTCTTTTCCCAAAACTATTCTAATTCAAAAACAAAATTTTGACTCCAAAATCTCATTATCACACACCATGTTAGCTGACCATGTCATGGCGTGTTTACAAGAGTCATTGAATTTGAATATGATATATACAATTATAATGATAATAGTAAAATGGAATGGACATGAACTTACATATAATCTGACACATGCACTGACATGTTCTAACACGAGCTCTGACACACGCTCTGACATATACTCTGACACTCTTTCTGACACACACTCTGACAGACACATGTTCTAACACGAGCTCTGACACACGCTATGACACTCTTTCTGACACACGCTCTGACAGGTGCACTGACATATTCTAACACGAGCTCTGACACACGCTCTGACATATACTCTGACACTCTTTCTGACACACACTCTGACAGACACATGTTCTAACACGAGCTCTGACACACGCTATGACACTCTTTCTGACACACGCTCTGACAGGTGCACTGACATATTCTAACACGAGCTCTGACACACGCTCTGACATATACTCTGACACTCTTTCTGACACACACTCTGTCAGATGCACTGACACATGTTCTAACACGAGCCCTGACACACGCCGACACTCCTTCTGACACACGCTCTGACACATACTCAGACATCTGCACTGACGCGTGTTCTAACGCACAATTTTGACACGCTCCGACGCATGCACTGACACATGTCCTGACATACACTCTGACGCATGCACCGACACAGGCTTTATCTACAACAAGAACAAGCTTTACACTAGCAGTTCTCGCACCAAACACGCACCAAACGCGACACGGGATATCGCGCGGGTTATGCATAATTAATTAAGAGCTTCGTTAGTAGTCAGACCAAGCTTCACTTGCCTGGCAATCAATACACCCATTGTTTTTATAAACTCCTCCCTCGACTTCGTGTTTGTGCGTGCGTGTGTGCTAGGGATCGTTGGTCCTAAAAGGGAAAGGGGTCATGACCTTTTTTGTAACATTTCTTATTCCATACGCTAGAAAAAAAAATTCGTACAAGTGCATCCGGGAACGGCCGCGTGAATCAACCAGGAAAACCAACGACTTAGCAGAGTTTAAGTCATTGATTACCACGCATGACTAGATTGACACAGGACGTAATTATCTTCTTTTTTTTGTCCGAAGTAACGTCTGTAATTTATAAGATAAGATAAGATAAGAGTTTTAAGACTAAGGACAACGCATGACTAAAGAATTTTATCGTACTTTCAGTTAGCACCTTTTGGTTTTTGCCTGTATACGATTTTCGCTCCTCTGTTGTCTGACATTCTTTCAAGGTGACCTGCCCCCAACGTAGTCTGTTCTTTTTTTAATTTCGGTCACTATTGGTGGGTCTTCGTACAATTGATATATCTCATGGTTAGTGCGTGTCCTCCACCCTGTTTCATCCTATATGGTACCATAGATTTTCCTAAGGCAGGCGACCCAAACCGTAATAGTAGATGGCTGTTAAGTGGTCCTTCTTCCTTTGTTTGACCATGGCAAGGGTTGTCTGAATCAGCCAGGAAAACCAACGACCTAGTATAGTTGAAATCGCTGATTAAAATATGAAATATGTAGGACGAAATTGTCTTCTTTTTTAAATACAGTATGCAATTTACAAATTAACAAAATAACCCCGAAAGCATTGTAGTATTTTATTATGAAAGAAATATAATACATAAATACGCACTGATAGTTATTAAATAAAAGATGTTGACATTGTGAAAACTTGTCATTTAAAATTATGTTACAAAGATGATTTATGAAATATGTTTATAAAAAAAAGTTGAAATACCAATACTACTGATAATATCATTTTAATAATAGTATTTAACATTTAGTCCTACCCCCCCTCGCCCCCATGTGGAATCTATAAGGTCATTTTCCTGATTGACCACAAACTTGTTTTGGGGATAGTTATCCAGGACTTTTAGTTGCTACCAACGAACGGCAGGTTGTTAGTTTTAATATTATTGATCCGCCGTAGCCGTGGTCTTCCCTGGTTAATACTAAAGATATCGTAAGAGTGTAGGGACGTATGCACAAATAGGGGGCGCATATCCAGTAAACGTCACCATAGATTTTTTTTTTTTTTGCTGCTGAACTGTAGGCTATTTTATATTGCCAAATTCTGTGACACCAACTGGGAACAATTCGATCTAAAATCAGCTAGGTTTTAAAACACAGCTCAAGTCTAAGACACTGCTCAAATCAAAGTAAACCGTATAAAACAACAAAAAAAAACAACAACACACACTTATATTGTGAACACATTTAAAATTGATAAAGTGACATAGACATACATATTTTATGTTTTAATATATGATTGTAAAATGTGAAGTTCCCCTTTGAGACCATGCGGTCTACAGGGCAGTTGATGCTAAGGTCATCTGTTTCTATGGTCAACGGTTGACGAGCAGGGTGTTATGTGGCACTGCTGGGTGGAATTACTATATAGAAGGGCTGTGTTGAACTGCAGCGTGGAACTACTATGTAGAACGGCTGTTTGGAACTGCTTCGTGGAACTACTGCGTGGAACTACTATTTAGAACGGCTGTTTGGAACTGCTGCGTGGAACTACTGCGTGGAACTACTATTTAGAACGGCTGTTTGGAACTGCTGCGTGGAACTACTGCATGGAACTACTAGGTAGAACGGCTGCGTGGAACTGCTGTGTGGAACTACTATGTAGAACGGCTGTTTGGAACTGCTGCGTGGAACTACTATGTAGAACGGCTGTATGGAACTACTGTGTGGAACTACTATGTGGAATTGCTGCGTGGAACTGCTGTGTGGAACTGCCAGAATTTCATTGTCTACGAGATGAACCACATTTGTTCGACTCCTACAGAGTCCAATAACAATTAACATTTATATACATAATAACATATACCTTGTTTTGTATTACAAAAGAACAGGAAGCTTAACAAATATGCAAGAAATTAAATTAATGTCTCAAAGAAATTAATCTTTTTCCATTTTATTCTGTATTTTGCACCAAACCCAGCGCAAACCCTGAGCCCAATGGATGACGAAAGTGGTCATCCCCGAACCATAATGGGCGAACCACAACCAAAATTGGACCTCATTAACCAATCGTAAACAAGCACCTCTAAGTCATGTGATTTCCAATCTTTTCTATACATTTGACGACCTAATTCGAATTAAACATAGATATGACGTAACTATTTTCGGTGTTTCATTTGAACCATTCGTTTGTTGTTTGTTCGCCAAATGTTTGACATATTTCGGATGTTCCTTCAGAGTTGAAGATAGTTTACTTCCTAGTCCAAACCTCCCGCAGGACGACGGGGGATGGGAGCGGGCAGGATTTGAACCCGGGACCATCGATAAATCCAAACGACAGTCCAGCGCGCAAACCGCACGACCAGCCAGCCATCCAACGAGGTCCATCAAATCTGTTAATGTAGAGGACATAAAACACAAATGCCACAAAAAGATCTAGATTTAGCTGTTAAAATGGCAAGATAAACCCAAAAGTGTTCTTCCCAAATGTCAATAATGAGAAGCAAGACACAGCCCAGGTGAGCATCGCACGTGGAACACACAGACACTAGGACAAATTTATACAAATACTCCTTCTTCCCTAGTGCTATTAGAGCATGGAATGGGTTGCCTGAGTTATCCAGGAAAACCAGTGACTTGGCAGAATTTAAGTCATTGGTTAATATGCATGACTAAATGCATGACGCGTAGGACGTAATCATCTTCTTTTTTGAAGTAACGTCTGTATTATATAAGATAAGATAAGACACATATAAACAGAGAAGCTGAAAACAACAACAACATAGAAACGTGTTGAAATACCCAAGGTTTTAGTTTGACATGTTCAATGATGCTATTTTTAGGCTTCTCTTACCACGAGGCAGTCGTTTAGAATCTATTGCTACAGAAGCTCGATGATAGTTATTATTACTTATGTAGCTGCGCCGACCAAAACATGCTTTATTTATAGTTCATAAAATACTTTCTATGACACCGTCTCACATCAATAGACGGAGCCTAACGAAGTAAGCCAGTCACGGCGATAATACATTCAGTGGCGTCACTAAGGGCGTGCAAGAGTGCGGACAGCATAATGTCAAAAATTTTTTTTTAGCAGACTGAAAAAAAAAGAAGCATAATACCCTTTTCAGGCCTTGCGATCAGATGACGTTAAGGTCATCTGTTTCTATGGTCGTCGGTTAACGAGGATTTCATGAGGCCAGCACAATGACAAACATCCTTTGTCCCCAACGTATGTCTGGTACCCAATAGAGTTGAGTAAACTCAGGATTGTCCTGTAAATTCAATATCCCTGTTTCACCGAGATTTGAACGCGAGACTCCTCAGTTACAAAGCCAAGCGCTTTACCATCTTGCCTCCAAACCTTTTTTTTTTCCAAAGTAATTGGCATTAACTAAATACTTAAGCTTCAGCCTGTTTAACAAAAATGCTAAGCTTTTTTTTTTTTTTTGTAAAAAATTTATTTTGGGGTAACTGAGTTTTAGAGAGGCACCATTAGCTAACCGCACCGGGAGACACTAATCCTGGCGACGCCTCTGAACAGATTAGCTGAAACATTAGTCTATTCTTCTATCCCCATTGCGTCTGTATGACCTGCAATAGTTCTTTATAGTGTTGAATGCCTGTTTGTACACACTTGTTAAAGTTCTCAGTAGTTTTAAGTTTCTTTTTTTTGATTGGTTCTTTGAGTCGATGTACTGAATGTCAGCTCCAGAGAAAAACACAGGCAAAAAATAGGCTCAGGATTGAGAACTGGTTTCTGTGACCGCTGTTTAGATTGTTGGTATACAGACATCTCTTGTAGTAGAATCCTTCCACCTGAAACCAGATGGATAACGTTTTTAATCAATGAATGATTAAATCAATCAATCAGTCTGCCTGCCTGTCTGCCTAAATATCTATCTATCTATCTATCTATCTATCTATCTATCTATCTATCTATCTATCTATCTATCTATCTATCTATCTAATCTGTCTGTTTGTCTATCTATGCTAATGCGTGGCTACCACAGGCTATGTGTGTGGTTACCTCTAGACAAAGCTGCAAGTCAATCAATCCGTCAGTCAGTCAGTCACTAAGTCTCTCTGTCCGTCTTTCAGTCTGTCTTTTTGTCTTTCAGTCTGTCTGTCTTTCAGTCTGTCTTTCAGTCTGTCAGTCAGTCAGTCTGTCAGTCTGTCAGTCAGTCAGTCAGTCTGTCAGTCAGCCAGTCAGTCAGTCTGTCACTCAGTCTATCAGTCAGTCTTTCAGTCTGTCTGTCTGTCTGTCTATCTATCTATCTATCTATCTATCTATCTATCTATCTATCTGTCTGTCTATCTATGTCTATGCGTGGCTACCACTGGCTATGTGTGTGGCTACCTCTAGACAAAGCTGCAAGTCATCACAGCAGTCCCTGTTCTCAGTACAAACTCCCCAATACTTGGCACAGCACTTGTTGCTTGAGCCACACTTCAAGCGGTCCTCACACTGGTACGTGTATAGACACGGTTTGTGCATACTGAAACAGAAAACATAGACATTGGATAAATCATTCCTGGTTGTTGTTACCGGTCGTTGACTTGTAGCACCAAACTGCTAGCAGACAACTAAACCGTAGTGGGCGTAATGTATCTTAACTAATAAAACTTCAAATAACTTCCTTTTGTGAACAAAACTAAATAACACTTTATATATAATATAAACAAAATCAAAAAGTTGAAATGAGATAAAATAACTGTAGTAGACACTAGTAATAATCTTCTGTAACAAAAGGTAACTCACTACAAAAAAACACAACCTTTCTGTCTCACGTACTGAAGTCGTCTCCCCTAACTAAGACCCAATGACGACAATGCCAGCTATGTTGCATCATTCACAACCAATCGCTAACCTCCTCCGGCTGTCAGCATATAAACACACACTCCGTTACACTTCCAGTGTGAGAAACGAAATAAAAAAGCTTTGATCGACCAAGTCATGACTCAATACAAGCTCAGAACTTTTTTGTTTGTTTGTTTAGGTTTGACATTTTTATTGAGAGCAAGTGAGAATGATTTTGTTCCAAGACCAGAAGGTGGAGGCTCTTTCAGGAAAAGTAGGAGATGGCTGCGTCACTTGAAAATGTGGCAGGTTAGCAAAACCCAGAGTCTTCTCTTCTTCTAGCCAGATTTTTTGCTGCTGAGCTGTGTGCTCTTTTGTAGACTGTGCCAAGGAAAAAGAGTGTGCTGTTTTCTTCAGTTGTTCAGCACTGCCGTACAGGGTGGTGGTTATCTTGGACTGGAGTGATAGTAGGGTCTGCTTAATGTGGATTAGGAAGGGGGCATTCAAAAAGGATATGGTTTAACCCAGAGTCTTCATAATCTCCTTAGTGTGTTTTTTGTCCGTATTTGTTTAGGATGTCCCTTCAGATTTAAGATTATTATATCCTAGCCCGAATCTCCTGCAGGACGACGGAAGATGACATGGTTCGAACCAGGGGCCATCGAGATGACAGTCCAGAGCGTATACCACAAGACCAGGCACCTTTCTTGCGCCAATGTTTATGATGGCAATCTCGTTTGACCTGTTCAAATACTGTTCCAAACTGAGCCCGGGATCTAGTTGAAGAAATCCCATTTTAAGAGCAGAGAACTCTGGAACATGCACACCCTCTACTAGCTTGATGGATATATTCCTCACAGGTTCCTTTTGGGTCCGTTTCATCAAATGTGCCACAAATCCTGCAATGTTATTCCTTACCTTCTTGCTGGGAATAATACCAATTTTCTTCACATACATGTTTGTTTGTATGAATCAATTAAGTCATTTAACAAGGTTACATAGACAATTTGCGTGGGAACACAAACTCAAAATCGGCCTCCGAAGTGGTCCACCCAGGCAGGTAAAAAGGCAGGTCTCAATATTTTCAGAAAGAACATCAGAATGAAATTCTATCAAAGGCTAATGGACAGAGAAGAATGGAGAAAGAAGGTTGACCGATCTTGTGTGGTGCTTCTCCCCTTCCTTTAGTTAAGTGTACACATTTTGTTTTTGTATTTGAAGATTATGGTTCCCCTTTCGGGAGCCGCTAAAACAAAACCAAACAAACA